AATTCCAGAAGATCTGAACTAAGAAGGCCACTGTATTTCAGATCTCTTTGGATTTATTTAGTGATATTAAAAAATGCAAACATAACTATTGTATGAAAAGGATTATTTTATGATTTACTGATATACATTAAATGGAAAAAACATTCAGAAAAATAAGAGAAAATTATATATAATTATTTATCAATTATTAATTATAAATAAACCAAAAAGAATTAGTTATTGTAGCAAAATAAATTGCTAATGTCTTCATTTAATTAAATATGCTTTAAATACATAACCTTTTCAAAATATGCAGGATGATATTACTTATACCCACATTTAGCTACACAGCTAAATGAAGACTTCAAAATATTCTAACATTGCTAGCCATAATGTATCAAATATGAAAGCTGTTTAAATCATATACGATGACAAATGAGCTTTTTACAGGACATGAGTTTCTGTTACTGTGTTATTATTCACTGCTACTGTGATGGGTTCAACACCTCACAGACAGGTCCAGTGCCCTTTGCTGATCCAGCAGTTCAGAGCTGACAGCTGTAGATCTTTGAGAGATGTTCTACCTGAAGCCCAGGGTCAAAAAAAGACAAATGGGTGGCAGCTGTTTTTAAGAAGTCTGGTCAGGGCTACAGCAAACAGGAATGGTGGAAGGTGTGCGTTAACCATCTGTTCACTGTTGCAGATTCTTATCTCAGGTTGTTCACCAAATCAATGATTTTTTCAGCAGGAAGCAAATTCAGGTTACGTTCAGTCACTGGGTGGTTCAGAACTTAAAAACACCAGTCACAGGAGACCTGGAAGCTCAGTTAAACAAAACCAAGTGAATCTGCCACAACACACTCACTGACTGGCAAACAACTTCTCTGTTCATGGAAGCTTAAGGTGACCCTACCTTCAAAACTTCTATTCTACCTCCCCAGCATATGTCTGCATCTCAAAGGGTTAAGTGATTTGTGAAATATTTTGACTAAGACAAAGTAACTACCTTATATGCTATTAGCCCCTAGCAGCAGCTACAGTGTAAGTATAGCGGGAGATGAAATCACAGTGACTAATAGCTTTTCTTCGCGGATGTGTCAGGAGTGTTTCCAGCCCTGTATATCTTCCTGCAATCAGATGTGGCATTAAATAGCATTCTGTCCTGAAATGAATCCTGGCCAGCTTGCTTGCTGAGCAGCTTTACCCGCTGAGGTTCCCACTTAGAGTCACAGAGCATCCCAAGTTGGAAGAGACCTATGAGGATCATCGAGTCCAACTCCTAAACTTAACAGAACAGTTGTCATCCTGGCTAGACTGCAGGTCCCTGAGCTTCCCAGCCTTAACCTGCTAAGCCCATAAACTTTCATCACCCAGTGAACAACCTTTTGCCTGATTTATCCCAATAGGAACAGGACACAGGGCGATTTAAGAACACTTAAATCTATCTGCAAGAAGGCCACAAACAGTGGAAACACATCATGCTGAAGAAATGCACCAAGAGGAAGGAACAGCTACCCTTACTGCTCGAAAGAAGTGAGACTGACAGTGCATGAGAGGGCAGCTCCATCAGGAGAAGGAACTGGGATGAGCACTTCATTCTCTCACATGAGTCCCACACTCATGTTAAATTAGGCAAAAAGGGAATAAAAGGGAGAAGAAGCCTGATAGAAAGAATTTATTCCATATCTAAGCAACACTGTATGCTTTGTCTGTACAACATGGATTGTATGGGAACGCAGGGAGAAAAACAACCTGGAATAAAATACTGCCTCTGTGTGTATCTACGCCAGTTACTGAAGCCCTACACAGTGATCCATAGCCCACAAAGCAATTCCATTAGTTCTGAATCTAGGAGCAATATAACCATACCTGTGAAGCATCAAGCTCACACTAGAAGACCCCTCTCTGCCCTCACAAAATGAGAATATTTTGTCAGACATTCGACAGTCATGATGCATGCCTCAGTTTTACTACCCAAAAGAATGGTCTTCAAACAAAAGGCAGGAAAAGAGTTCATTTACATCTCAGTGTGTAATCTGGAATTGACAGGCTCTTCTACATTGATAAGAAACACTACGGAGGAAATTATTTTGGCTAAGGTAATAAGAAACTTCAGTCCCTGAAGGGTAACTGGTAACAACGAATGGGTGACTGGTAAATGCTACTTTTTGTAGGGGAAAAAAAAAAAATATATATATATTACTATTCTGTCTCACTCTCACTCAGTCTTGATTGACAATCTTTTCATAAAGGCTCTGATTCTCATTTCTGATCAGCAAAGACCTTCTCATCTATTTCACACATGAAAGAAGCGCTGTTCCAGTGATGAACTGATGGGGTTGAGGTACCTGAATACCTGAGAAGAGCCCTCAGATAAGCCCTCACTTAGCAAAACGCAGATACTCACGAGTGAGCACAGAGATAGTTTGGGTTTTTCAGGCAGTTGCCCTCACTCTCTCTATTTTTCCAGGTCTGAGAAAGCAAGAGACGCTTCTGGTTTGACCAAGCTTTACTTAGCTGTTTTTTGAACATTACTGAAAGAAACTGATGAATGAAGACAACGATTGACTCCTTTATCAGTGAATGACGGGCATGTTTTTGGTTACTGCGGTAGTACTATCTACTTATGCTTACTCTTTACTTGCACTTTTCCTCAATGACCAGTTTTTGGCCACCACCAGAGACAGAGCAGACGTTTGGTCTATGCAGTGCAGCTGCTCTTTTGTTCAATTTTAAAAACAGAACTAGCAAACAAATTCTGCATAAATTTCTCTTTGATTTGTTGTCTGTGAGAGCAAGTGCATAACATTCATCACATTTTTAGCTATGTAAGTATTTTTTTCTGAAGAGAGGAATTTAACACATTCTCCAATACTGTGTAGATACAGTGCTGACTCCACTATGAAAACTGCAATATAAGAGCCACCATTGAGAGAACAGTAACAACTTTTCTCACCCTACCATCAAAATAGCACCGCTTTTATACTGCTGCAGATTTGAATGCAGCTGGAAAATGAAAAATAATACTGTTTTGATCGGCATAAAACTCAGTTGTCAGCCAGCTGCACATGAAAATGAGAAACATGAGCAAAAACGAGCATTTACTGGAATGAGATCTTCAGCTCCCACACAAGAATGCAGCTCGAAGTGGTGCTGAGATACACTTCTCCCAGGGCAGCCTTGCCCAGAGCCTTTCTAGCAAAAGGCAGCACTTCTAGAATCAGGCATGTTATCATGAAGTTTCCATGCTCACTATTTTTAAAGAAAAGAATGTGTAACTCTTTACCAGCAGAATTTAATCAATAATTCATTAAACTGGCTGTAACACAAACAATCCACTGCTGCTTTTGGGCGACTGCACACATGATAAGGAAGACGCCAGCAGTTACTTTAAACCAGGGCAATGTGTGATGTTAGCATCTATGTATATAGAAAAGCTAACAGGTAATTCAGTTAGCAAACAGAATTTAATCCTTTTAAACTAAGAATATTTTCAAACTAAGAATCCTTTAAAAAAAATATCCTTTTTAAAACCAAGTGGCAGAAGTCTTTTTCTTAAAGCTGTAAGCAAGATTCCACCAGCAATTGCTATTATTTGGTCTTTTAGCTATTTGTTTCACATTTTTATCCTATGGTTTGATGCGCCTGTAAATTCTAATTGATTACACAGTTCAACTTTGGATATTAAGCACTGATTTACCAAAAACTACTACAACATTCAATTTAAGTATTTTACATGCTTGCCAATCTACTTTTTCTTTGATTTTTACTATTTTTTTTTAATATTCTGCAAAACACTTTCTAACATATCCGCTGCATAGCTTAATCTTACAGTGCAGCCAGGATTTTCCATTCACACAGCCATATTCCATGCCTAATGCTAGGTTGCCATCTGTTGACCAACTTAGCAGCTGTATTGTAAAGATACAACACAAGGCACTTGAGAACATAAACAAATTGCAAAAGACCTTTCAAGTTTGAATCCCGGTTTTGTACTTCTTTCTCTCTACCTGGGAAAGTTATTTTAAAAGGTTACCATTTCTCCTTAACTTAATTTGCAGGGAAAAAAAAAGGATCAAGCTTTTCCATACACAGAGTCAGTACCGGAGAACATCTTCAAAGGCTGCTTAAGGAGACTGTCTGAAGGCTAAAATCAATAGGACATTCTTTGGGAATCAAACTGTATAAGAAGCACACTGCATGGATGGAATGATCAGTATTAGGCGCTATAATGTTATCTTTTTCACTTTCAAAAGGTGTCCAAGGGAATCAAGAAAATATTGCCAGGGAAATGAAAATTTAAATTGGTCAACATATATATATCTCATTCTTCCTTTTTTTTTTTTTTTTTTTTTTTTTTTTTTTCCCCTTTTTCAATTGCTTTCATTTAAAAAGAAGTACAGATGAAAAAAACAACATCTCTGTATAGGACAGTATATTAGCTGGGTTTACAAGGGTGCAAGAGTCACTTTTAGCAGGATGAACAGTATCACCTCAGGGAAGAAATACCTACTTCATACCTACTTCACTTAGCATGTAAAAGGCTTTAGTTTTCTCCAAGTGACTGCATGTATGAAACAGAGTGTCTAGAACATTTCTTTTGCCTCAAAGGAGATTTGTAGGGAGTACCTTCAAAAACAGTGGAAAGGCCTTCAAGAATTCTGATCATCAGCATCACGAATAAAAGACAATTGTTTTCTCTGAAGTCATTAGAAAAACAAAGCTTTCCAAAGGAATGATACATGAAAAGGACTTTCCAAAAAACATGAAACAACTGTGACATATTTCTTAATAGAAATATAATATTAAATGATAATGTACAAAATAAACAAACAATAACATACTTTAATAGAAATAGAATCAAAATAGAGATCAGCTCTATTAATAGTACTTTATATAGCAATATATAAACTTTCTATAGCAATACATGAACACAGCACAGTCTAAACACTGCATTATGGTGCTGAGCTCAAGAACTTACATGCATATAAGGATTTCATGCAGTCTGTTTAGCGACTCACCTTTGAATCATCCAGTTCCAGTTTTTTCAGAGACTTCCTGACATAATCTAAGAAGGAGGATGATTTGGAGAAAATTTTTCCAACATGTCGATCACTGCAAATATAATGATGAGATGCATGCATTCCGCTAACAGAAACTTACAGATTTTAAAAATCATTTTTATCTGAATTTACATTTATTGAGGGCAAATAAATCTGTTGGACAGCCCCTTGGGTCAAGTTAGTGACAATTTTTCTTTTCTCCTTTTCACTTAAAACAACTAGCTAATACTGGGAGAAGTTTCTAAGCACAACTGTACAGCTGTACTACAGCTGGAGTATGGTTACTATTTTACCAAAAAATGAGAGGGGTGAAGGTTTCTTTTTAATTTCTCCCGTGATGGTTTTATTTCTTCATATGAGTGACAAAATTCTTATTTCTATCGAATGATATTACCTTCTGTGCTCCTGTAACACTGTCATTATTTACTGCAATGCTGCTGTAATTTATTGTGTACCACCAGACTGAGCAAATGGCAGGTCATAGCAAAATTTCACTGTAACCTTGTGTTCTTATCCTCAAAACTGTAGCTTAGTTAAGTGATACCAGAACTTCCACTGTTGACAACAGTGGCTCACTTTTGAAGCCGGCTAAAATTGCAGACAGTTTAAGAAAACGTTAAAATAACGTACAAAAACACAAAGACCACTCAGAAACACTGACAGGTCTCATCCATTCATTTTCTCTGCTTTGTTTAAAATATCTTGGAGAAATTACATAAAACTTTATTAATCTGAACTCACTTTCTTGACAATTTCCCCACATAGCACTACCCTAATCTAGTTTTGCAGCTTAGGAGTTACATTTTCAGCTATAACAGCTGCTCCTGAACATTTCTTAAGAAGGAAGTATGCTAAGTAGAAATAATAACAAATAGATTAAAAAAAATAATTTAATTTGTAAATATTTTAAACTTTTCTCCCTCTTTATTCTTAGTAAAAACTCTCCTTATTTAAGGATCAGAATTAACATCTACCAAGGTCAATATAATGACTTTACCCAGTAGCATTTCTAATGTTTTTTGGGTGGCAGAGATCCCCATTCATTGAGAACCAATGGCCACATTTATTTTTAAGAATTTCTCTAGTCATATTTAATACTGAGGTGCAGTTAAACATTTGGGCTGATGCAGCCTGAAAATCAGTTAATGATTATGCTGCTATGACAGGCCTCTGCCCTCCTAATTAGATGCTAGAGGGGGAAAGATATCACACTGGGTCTGGCTGAGATAGGTTAACTTTGTTCAGAGCAGCCCATATGGCGCTGTGTTTTGCATTTGTGACTAAAACGGTGCTGATAACACATGGATATTTCAGCTGGTGTCAAACTGCTCTGCCTTGCAGCAAGGAGGATTGGGTTGGGCAAGAGGCCAAGGGTGAACCCAGCCAGGACAGCTGACTTAAACCTACCACAGGGATATGCCATACTGTATACCATGACACACAGCAATAAAGCTGGAGGGTGGTGTTCTCAAGGTAGTAGATGCTTGTAGACTGCCTGGGCAGCAGTCTGCTGGTGAGAGGGTGAACCTTTGCTTCATCTGTTTTTGTGTTTAGAGTTGCTTTTAATTTTTTCCACCTTTCCCTTTCATTAACTTATCAAACAGTCCTTATCTTGATGAGTTTTTCTCATCCTGCTGTGAGGGCAGTGAATGAGCAGCTAGAGAGTGCTTAGTTGCTGGCAAGAGTCAGCATAGATATACAACATATTTAATAGATTCATGTTGTATACAAGTAGTTTAAAAAAGAACAGATTAATAATAGTTCATAGTCTTAACAGTTCATTCTCTCAATTGCTTTAATGTGCTAAATGTTTTTCTGGAACTGGACATCTTAAAAAATGCAGAACAATCACACTAGGTTTCAGAACAATAAAGAAAATATCAGCTTTTCCACTGAAACTGGTGACAACTCACATTAGTCAGCTTGCAAGCAGGTAGGCTTCTCCTGCTTTTATTTCAGAAGTATAATCCTAAATTACTTCCTCCAAATTATGCTTCCTTTTACAAGTGAAGTATATTGTCATCCCACGCACTTTTTTTTCACACTTTATCAACAATGGTTTTACATGTTAACTTTTAGTTAATTTTAAAATAAACAAGTATTTCTTCTTTCAAAAGACTTTCTGAAGGGCTAGCTGTCTGGCTTCCCACTTTCCAAAAGACTTGGGGGTATCTGCATTAGCATTTATTTTAGATCATAAGTATATTCCCCAAGTGACTTTTGGGGTTTGCTCACCTCCCACAGCATGGTTTGTGCTGTGGAACGGGATCAGAGCTTCAAAATTAAATTAAATTGAAAGGTGTGCTTCTGGATGTGCACCAAATGCTAATGAGCACACACCCCACATAATAAAAGTTAATCCAGACTGCAACTCCAGAAAAGTGTTTAGTGAAGATGTCAAGATCATAGCACTAACTTGCCAAATCCCATCATCCATAGGCACAGAACTTGCTGATGTACACACAGGCAGCCATCAGCACTTGCTGATGTAGCCCTTCACAGACAGCCATGTTAGCCATTGGTCATTTTTCTCAGGACAAATGGAAATGTATTTTTGTCTTCTGCAGTATTAAAGCTGCCAAGTCTTCTGAAATACAGGATAGCCTAAGACTGTCAACTTTTAGATGTTTGCTATTGTTTTGCTGTTGAAGATAGATTTTAATAATGAATCCGGTACCAAGGAGGACCTATTTCAGCTATGAGTAAAGGAAGGGCAATACATCTGTGATGTGGACATAGAAGCAAATGTGATGTGCATAAGGAACAAACGTATCCTTCATTTTAATGCCAATATGTATTTTCAGTCTGAGACTGATTCTTCAAACCTGCTGCTTAAGAAATACAGAAAGGGATCACAGAAAATCAGATGTTTTGTATTCTCTGAGTTTAGAGCTTCCTACCTTTTGGTGACACCATAAATTTCTTCTATAATAACCTGAAGAACAGCTCGATAAAACAACGACTCTGTAGGCAGCTGGAAAAAAAAAATCAACAAAAAGGATTTGAAATTGGAATTGAAATTAAGATCATAGTAAAAACAAAACAAAACAAAACAAAAACAGTATTGGCTTCTACTTATTTGTTTACATTCCTTGCAATCAGTCATAACAACTGGACAATTTACTAATGTTCCTGAATCCAGTTTAATTTACGTTGCCAGATTCTAACACAACTTGAATGTGAAAAAAAAGAGAAACCCAAAGCCTGAAGTAGAAGATCAAAGACTGGCAGAGAAAAAAAGAACAGAAAAAATGTAGTGATCATGACCCAAATTCTACTCTGCAAAATAAATCTAACAATTTACCTAAACTGTTCTAAAGACAAATAAATAATTTCCTAGCTGAATCATCATGTGCTGTAGTTTCAACAATGCAGAAAGCACTGTGCTCATAAAAACAGAAAACGCTTAAAAGTTCACATCTTTGAGTATAAAAGATCTGTTTCCATAAAAATAGTTAATAGTTGTCAGTCTAAAATTCGTGGCAAAGCTAACCCACAATGAAAGACTACAGGGAACAGGAGGATTACACACAGAGAGAAGAGTTCTCAGTCTTTTTAAATATTTGCACAGTAGGTGTCTGCCATCCAAACAGGATAACTTGCACAGCAGTAATTCAAAGTATTCATGGATTAAAAAAAAATACAGAGATTAAAAATGAGAATGATGATGTTTCTTACAGATATAAGCTTTTGTCATAACAATTTCTATTTTTACATTCGTTGATATAACACTGGGATGGAATGATCCAAACCAGGGATATCAGAAGGGCATTTGGACTTAATTTATATACTTGCTGAAAGATAGTGCAAGAAGTTAGGAAGAGTAGCTTAAATTTTAAGCCGTGCCTTTTTTTCAGACTCTTAATTATCAAGAGAAAACAGACTCACTAGGTACAACCGCAGCAATAAAAATGCAATTTCATGATGACACATGCTATCTATCAGGATTTGATGTACTGTATGCTAGTGTTTTAGATTCCAGAAATTCAAAAGTTCAATAAAAGGTCGTGGATTAAGAGCATTTAAAGGGGAAAAACACATTTTATCTTAGAATGGTTAAAATAAACAGTATGACTTACCATTTGGCCAACTGCAACTCGCTCCAAAGCCTTTAAGAGTGAAGGAATTAAATTGCTGATATGTTTATTCTTTATCAGAACATTTTATAAACACATTGTATAAAAGTCAGAGGATATGACATTTTAAAAGATTAATGGTGTGACACAACATGAGCTTGCACACTTTAAAGTGTTAATACCGTTACAGAACCATAAACAGCTCACTCCTGTTATTTTGGTTTATTTGTAAGAGAAGCAATGATAACCAACTGTATAGATGTGAGCAAAATTTCTTTCTTTTTCTTAGGTTTATAAAAGAATTTCTGAGAATTCTTTCCGTATTTTTTCTTTGTATTGTTGTATACAATTATTGTATAATTATTTATTTACAATATAATATTTTAAATGCAATATTAGATATTTGTTTTATATCTTCTATTCTTGCAGAAATGCAAGCAATTCAGTTTCCAATCAATTATTTCAAAGTGAAGATTGGTTCAATGGCCAATGCCTTTAAATACTTTTAGATTCTAGTATAATGAGTGTAAATAAATTAAAAAATTCAGAGGGACTGAACTTAAAAGGGTAATGCATGAACTTTCACAATAGATTCCTCAGATCACAAATCCTGATGCTGGTATGAGAGTACTTGATTTTTATGATCCATACTGATCAAGAATGGCAAATAATCACAAGCATGGTATGTCTTCCTCCAGAAGTAAAGATCATAGTAGAAATGAAGGAAAAACTTCAATCAGTTGCCTGACACTAAAATAAATTAGATAAAAAATCAAAAACGTCTCACCACTCAAGGATCATTGTCCCCAAATTCCACCACAGCAGATAGAACTGCTTTTCACTGAATCACCCACTTTTTCTTCTCCTAATTTGAGAACTGATCTTGTATTTCAGATTGTGCTTCAACTACAATCCAAGTAGTTGTACAAGTGAAAAGTGTATACCTGCCTCACTGCAGAAGATGGATGTGTCTGGAAAAGTGTGAATCTGAGTTATCTCATCCAGACCTTTGTCCCTTGGCCCTTTAACCAATTTGAACAATATGTAATGATGAACATTATATTGAGTATCTTATCATTGTTCAGCAGATTCAGTTTCTCCAACCTAGCCATTGCCCCTGGGAAGGTGGGTGCCTAGCTGCATGTCACCATCTCCTTTCTACCTACTAGAGGGCAAGGAGTGTCCCAGTCATGAAAAATGCAAGCATGAGATTTCAAATGTACTAATTGTGGAAGCATCTAGTGCCATGGGAGAACTCCTTGCCTTTGTGAAGTTTTAAACAAAAGAAATTTTTAACTGCCTAATTTCTGTGAATTCTATGAACTCTAAAACAGATAGATTTCACATGTTCAGTACTATCTCTTCAGAGTCATTTGCTTACAAAATTTATCTTCCTACCATTGTTGAAAGACAGCCCAGACTTTCCCTTTCTAAAAGAAAAAGAATGGGAACGAAAGCAAGTAATGGGTCAGCCTAGGAAGTAATGGTATTGCATTACACTAACAATAAAAAGAAAACAGGCAATCTCTTTTAGAAAGTATTTTTATGATAAAGGTTTTACAACACCATGGCTAAAAGAAACAGATTTTTTCTTGTACCTTGCCAAGGGTAACACATGTAAGCCTAATGAAATACTAACTGTCCTCCCTTGCTTTCATCTGACAGTATTAAATTATCATGTTAGCTTGCATTTATATAACCTTGATATGTTAACCTGTACTGCCTCTTCAGTCCATACTATTCTCTCAAACAGAGGTAAAGAGGTAGCAGCAAAGGCTTACCAGAACCTATGACTCATCTTGATACAAGAAATTAAAAACTAATAAAGAGTATAAGTCTTCTAACTGAAACAGTGGTCAAAATTTTTGATACGTATCTGTTCTTTCAAATTGGACAACAGTTCATCATTCTGTCTCACTGAGGTTAGGTCTTTGCAACTCCTGGTGCAATGTTAAAAAGATGTTTCCAGTCTGTTAAACCACACGGATTTTAGAGCTCTTCTCACTTTTGGAAGAGGCAAGTTTGTTTAGGTTTCAAACAGTCAGAACATTCAATATTATGAATCATGAAGGCGTTGGGGGAGTTACTGATTGCAATCCTTCTACAATTACCTTGTTCCACTCTAAGTCCTTGGCCAGGAACTATTACCCTAAGGGGTTACCTTGTTTAGGTTTTACCAAAGGTTTGGCCTTTCTGTCCATTCTTAAAATATGTTTCTGTCAATACTCATTTTTTCATTCCTTCAGCAAGTATAAAATATATAACACTGGAAGGTCAGTACTATTTTTTTAGATACAATTCATCATGCTTACAACATTAATGACGTTACTCTGCAAAGTCTTGGATTAAAGTCATGGCTCTTGGATTAGAAGCCAAAAACAATGAATCCTATAACATCTGGACAGAGTTCTCAGTAGGAAAAAGAAAAAAAGGGGAATCATACCAAGCACGCTGACATTCTAGCATTGCGACCGCAGCACCAGCCCTCGTCCCTCAAGTACTGACACATGGGAAATCCCCACACTTCCTCTGTGCAATCTGCAAGATGGGGAAAAAAAACAGGCACAGCTTTCATGAACTCTTCACTTTACCTTACAGTGTAAACAACATATTGAGCAAGATGAACAGTTAATGGATGGTAGCAGAAACACTTAACTGTTCCAGTCCAGTACCAAGAAACATTAGTATTATAATTACGGATTTTCCTCATAACAGATGTTTTTGGCTGATATTGAATTTCTGGTAATTTCAAAACTTTTTTTTTTTTTTTAAACTAGGTCATTTTTATAAAAATCAACTGAGAAAAAAGTTCTAAGGGACACGGTAGGATTTGCAAATACCTCTGGCACATCCTGCCATGCCATGAGTTATAAGAAGTAAGGCAGGCAGTCATTCAGTATAGCAGGACTTCACTATTTCTTCCACTGGGTTCCTCTTCTACCATAAACATCTAAAATCACAAAGAATGCGTACGTGTTTATTTCAATTCTGAAGCTCTGTGCTTTGCTGAGAGACAGAATGTTTGCTCTCCAGAAATGAGCAGCTGCAAAGGCTCATGCTGTTTCTTCAAAACACAGAGAAGCATTTGCATCACAAACTGTGTTCAGTTTGTTCCAGTATCATTAGTATTTTGAATAACAGCAGAAGTCTTCGTGTTTAACACTAGTGAAAATGTGGGAAAACTAAACAAGCAGTTTAGACTATTATTAGCTAAGTGTTCATAATATCTAGGTGTAAATGTAGATGAAATCCACAACGTTTAGAATTTTTATTGGTGTATTTGTCAGCTGATTTTTTAGTGCATTGAATAAGAATTACCTTATTGCTCACTTACATACTTACCTTAAAAAAAAAAAAAAGCCAACAAAACAAACCAAAAGAATTCTACAGCAAATTGGCTAAGATCCTGGCTTTTTAGCATAGAGAGATGACTCGGGCACATTTAAAGACAAATCAATTTAATGGGGTTAAAAAAAGGACAGCAGAAATGCGACTCTTCAAATTTACCAGAAGTCTGGCGATACAAACACATAAGCAGAATTCATTTCGTGAAAGATAGGCAAAGAAGGGTAAGAGGAAACTATAAAGGACACCACTCTCTTCCACCTCTTCAGTTCTTCTAGTGCTAGTCTCCAATGACCAATGATCTCTAGAGAGTAACAGTGAGCAAGTAATCTTCTGCAGGCAACCTCACATTTTGCTCTCCTTTTAGTCTCAAAGGCTAAAAGCTTAATATGGAACGTATACTCGTTTAAGGACCATAATTGAAGAACTGAACATTAATGTGGGATAATTAACAGAAGAAGGAAAGTTCCTGTAGACCTGAAGATGAAATTAGACAAAACAGATTGCAGCTTGTTCCAAACTAGGACTATATAAATATTTGTAAATGCTTCATGACATGACATCAAACGCCATTTAACTTTAGGTCTAATTACTGAGTGCATGGAATAAAGCTCCTACAACAGGGATAGTAATAAGATCTTATTAAATACATATTTGGAAAGCAAAAAATGACTCCCATGGTTCCTATTTTAAGGATCACATTAATAAGCTTTTCTAACACGTATGTTAGAATATTTTAAAGTAAAAATGTGCAAACTGAGTTAGAAAGATAAAATCAATCAATCTTCTCAAGTTATCCCTTATAACCTACACCCTCTCCTCTAGGCAAAATAATCATCCATGCAATTAAAATTGCTAACCACTGAGCTACAATCACAATATTTGTACTCTATACTCATGTGTAATGCTGAAGAATTTCTGACATTTTTGAAAAGACGGTGATACAAAACATGATCTTCTTTATTGAAACTTTCTCTTTAGCTGGAGAAAGAGAGGTAAACCAACGCAGTGAGTTAGGTTTTTTGGTCTACTTACAAAGCTGACCATATATCTACAATATTGCCTTGAGTTCTTTTTGTTTTTCCATATCCAGTGCACTCTCAAGTCTATTGGTGATTAAAAAAAAAAATAGTTGAAAGATAAATACATTCCTATGAAGTGTACATGTTTATCAGCTTGACTTCACAGACCTGAAAATTCTTTTAATGCCTTTAACTACTTTTTACATGCTTGATACTACATAGCTCATTATTTATCATCTTGTGCTTCTATCTGACAATGCAAAATTGCACTAAACTCTATACAACTCTACAAAAGATTCAAACATTTCAAATATGGGTATTCTGTGAAAGACTTCACAGCAAACACTGCAAGCGATCAACAGTGCATGAAGAAAATAATAAATCATGCATAATGTAAAGAAGCCAGCTGAACAGAATTCTCTTTCCATGAAAGGTTAACAAAATGGGAATTCTATGCAACTATTTGATGAGATGAACAGATAGCTATAACATGTCTTCTTCACAGGTTAGGGGGATGATGTGCTAGAAAGGAACTCTGAGCAGGACTCCTGCTGGACAGTAGGTTGGCTATGACCCAGCAGTGTGCCCCTGTGACCAAGAAGGGTGCATTAAAAAGAGCATGGTCAACAGGTCAAGGGAGGTCCTTCCCCTCTACCCTGCCCAAGTGAGGCCACATCTGGAGTACTGTGTTCAGTTCTGAGCTCCTCAGTTCAAACAAACAGGGATCTTTTAGAAAGAGTGACTCAAGCACTGGAATAGGCTGCCCAAAGAAGCTGTGGAGTCTCTCTCTTCAGAGATACTCAAGACCCTTTTGGATGCCTTCCTGTGCAACCTGCTGTAAGGAAACTGCTTTAGCAGGGAGTTGAACTTGATGATTCTAGAGGTCCCTTCCAATCCCTGCAGTTCTGTGAATCTGTTATTCTGTGAAATTCACAAATAAGAATTTTAATAAGAACTTTCCAAATCATTGCTTTTTTGCCATTATAGATTTTTCATGTCTTTTGAAAAACAAAGAAATTTTATGGATCCTAAGTGGATAGATCTTAATCAGAGTATCCTTTGAAACATTTGCATAACTTATGCAATCCCTCCATGGATTTACTAACTCTTCTTGTAACCACAGCGATGTTTCACAACTAACCCTTGGGCATCTGATTTATCACATTAGTCTAACAGGCAGAAATAAGATAGGTCTTGAAAAGAATATGCTATGTGGAGAAGTTGTCTTGAGTTTGGTTTCCTATATACTTTAAATCCTATGGAGGAGATCATTAAACACTTTGAGAAACATGTGCAAACATACCAGACACAACTGCAAATTATTTATGGACTTTTTCACAGAATCACAGAATCACACAACACTGTCTAGCAAAGGAAAATACAAAGGCCCAGGTAAAACATTTTAAGCTGGAATAAATGCAAAGCCTCATATTTTATCATCAACTGAGTAGGACTAAATTTTCTACAAAGTATGTCAGATTACCATTTTCCACTTCTGGGAACTCAATGCTACAATGCTGTCAGAATGATCTTATTTCTTAACTCATTCCTTGAAATCACATGCTATTTTCTGTCCTCCAATTATTTAGACATTTTTCTAAGTCCTTCAGTAAAATGCTGTCACGGTTTGTACAGATTTCAGCCTCCTTCCATCTAGAATAACTTTTTGAATACTGTAATAGTAATGGCAGAAACCGTTAGGAGCACTTGTACTATTCTGAGGGTTTTTTTTCCCCTCTGGTTATTTAAGTTCCACGTGAAAAAGAGGACAATATGTATAGATATCTGGGATACTGAAATTTTATTTCAGGTAGTAAAAAATTAGAAATCATAGCAAATGTGTGTATATATGCATACATACATTTAAAGAATTAGATCAACTACAACTTCCTTCATCATGATTTACTTCTTTCTGGATGCAGAAAAAAGTCAGGTAAGTTTCATTGTTCTCATTGTATTCACGGACACACTCAGTTGCTGAACAGTGTTTAAAAGAAATTAATTAAAGGATTTTCTAACAAAATAGTTAAGTGTAGTTTGGGAATAGGATTTCCAAATATAGAATACTGAATGTTATTTATTAATATTTCTTTTTCTGATAGATAAAAAATGTACTAGTGTACATTTAGTGTACATACTAGTGTACAGTTAGTAGAAATATCAGACCTTACATAAATCTTAACTCTGAGCAAGATTCTGTTATTTCTAGCATGTTAACATTTAAAATTTACATATCACATCTATCTATAATTAATGAGAAAAAATAAATAAACCAGGACTTTGTTTCACTTTTGTGGCAGTGTATACATTGATCATAACAACTGCTTTGAAACTCTTCATCTGTTCTTTATGAAAGCAATACAAATAAATTAGGATAAGTGGCAAAGCACTATAAAATATAAGATTCTGATTTTTTTGAAATGTATTTAATTTTTCTATTCTCAGGTTTTAAGATTTTCTAGTATATACATGACTACAACAATGAGAATTACTTTCCAGTAATGAGTTCATCAGATTGCAAATAGTATGTGACAAAGCGAAGACAAAAATCTGTTTTTAGCGTACAGGCTGAATTTCCAACTTTACTCACTATCGTGTCTTGCTTAAGAAACTCTATTGTCCTTGGGAAAAAAAAAAACAAACGCTTATTTCATTCCTAAACTTTATCTTAGGCAATTTATTACTGAAATGCAGTGAAACACCAGTTTCTTAAAGCGTTTCAGCATGAGAACATAACTTCAGGAGAATGAGAACTTGTTCTATTTACTTAGTACTGTCAAGCTGATTGTACGCCCACAGCCAGTTCTGTACTAAACCACTCACACTGCAGTTTTTAGTGGCAAGTATCTTATACTTACCTTACAAATCACCATTAAGACTGAAAATGCTTTCTGTATTGAACTTCACCTATGATTTCTTTGGCACTTACTTTAATACAGAAAGGCATTAAAGCTTTAAAACATTCACATTTAATATTTGAATTTGGAATGTATTTTAGGATGGTGTATTATTACCAGTACCTAATAATACCACTCGGTGAATTATCACTGCATTACCTTGTCAGACTTGAATGTTTAAATACATTTTTGTCTGTTACCACTTAAAAACTGTGTTGGATACAGACACTTCCAACTCCATTTATTTATGAAGTGTGATCAGAATCAGCTCATG